TTTTGAAATGAAACTGTTGTTAAATAATTTTGCCGTCATGGCCCCGAGGCTCTGGAATTCTCTGCCTGAGGAGATTAGGCTGGCTAGCACATTACCGTCTTTAAATCATTGCTTAAAATATATGTTTATAGGAAAGCTTTCCCTTTAAATGCCTGATTTGTAATTTTTGATTTATAACTTAAGTGTTTTATTTTTGCCCCAGTTCACACTATTTTTCTTAGCTCTTAACATATTTTTCAAATATTCTATTGTTATTGTCGTCTTGAATAATAATAATTATTATTATTATTATTGTTATACTATAAAAGAAGAAATTGTAATTTAAATCTTTGTAAACAAAGCAAAACAGACACTTGTTTTTCTTGGTGAGCTTTTAATTTCATTAGTATCTTGAGTATCTTGGTTATTTGGTTAGATTTTTGTCTGCCCAGGAGTATGGTCATCTATTACTAATTTTTTCATGACAGTAGCTAAATTGGAGAAAAGAACGTTAAATCATCTCTCAGTGTTGGACTGTCTGAAAAAGCCCAGTCACCATTAGAAAATGTTGGCATTAAACATTTCTGCGACCCACATATCAGTTAGATTTGTGCATTTCACTGTATTATCATCTCTGAAGTAACATAGTATAGGAGCTGACTCTGTCATCTGGAGGTGGAGGGGATGGTGGATGGCGAGATGCCTGCCAAGCTGTTTCAAAACCAATTAACAACAAAACAGGGTGTTTTTTTAGTCACCTGTCTGAGTTTTTTGCCACATTGCTGCCTTTCCAGCCAGGATAGTGCTAAGAAAACCAAGCATTCATGTTCTTTCCCTCAACTTAGCCAATGCCAACACTTTTTCTGGTAACTGAGTTGTGTCTGAATCATCTTTTATTTTCTGGATAAAAGGGATCTGACCTGCTTAGTTGGTGGCACCGCATTACAAGACATTTCACAATACAGACTGGAAACAGTACAGCAGGTCACAGAGAGTGCAGGCCAGATGTACTCTAGGGCAAAAGCTTTCTAACTCACAGTAAGTGACAAACACAGTAGTGTCATAAAGTGATACAAAGAACAAATCAGTCTTAGGTCTGAACGTTCTCATTTTTTGAAGCTCTATTTCTGTGTTTCTGATGGTTTTGTGAAATATTTGATCTGTTCCTTAAACACAACTCAGTGTTCAGTTTCAGTTTTTAGCCACACTAGCAGAGTAGCCAGGGGTGAAAGTAGATTGAAGTTCTTGCTGGTACTACTACTACTCCAACATTCATAGCCTTATATTGTTCTCCTCCTGCCCCCTTATTAGCATTAGCATGCTAACATGATACATTGATGCCATTGAGAGCCTTAAAAAATATGTTAGCAAATATTTGATCACTTCTGATGGTCCCATCAAAACAAACAGGCCGTTTCTGCTGATAGCTCATTGATTTCCACTTTAGAATTCCTCTCTGCATTATCAGCAACAGCTTATTTGAGCAGAAAGTACAACAAATCAGGGAAGAAAGGTGCTGTTTTATTGTGCAGCTTCATGATGCAGCAAGATGATATTTTTCTAACTGAATCTTATGGATCCAGTCAGAAAAATATCATCTTGCGATGAAATAATTATTCTAGTAGAAGAATAGTAGGTCCATCCATCTCTGGAGGCATCCAGGAGGCATCCTGATCAGATGGCCAAACCACCTCAACTGGCGCCTTTCAATGCAAGACATCTGAGCCGACCCACCCTCTGGATGTCTGAGTCCCTCACCCTTTCTCTAAGGCTGAGCCCAGACACCCTCTGGAAGAAACTCATTTCAGAAACTTGTATCTACAATCTCATTCTTTCGGTCACCGCCCAGAACTCATGACCATAGGTGAGGTTGGGATGTAAATTGACCAGTAAATCAAGAGCTTTGCCTTCTGGCTCAGCTCCCTCTTCACCACAACTGTCTGGCGAAGCATCCGCATCACTGCAGACGCCATGTCAAACTGCCTATCCATCTCACGCTTCATTTCACCCTCACTTGTGAACAAGACCCAGAGATGCTGGAATTCCTTCGCTTGGGGCAGCACCTCAATCCAGAAGGGGCAATGCACCATTTTCCAGCAGAGAACCATGGCCTCAGATGGGGAGGTGATGACTCTCATCCCAGATGTTTCACACTTGCCTGCAAACTGCCCCAGTGCATGCTGGAGTTCATGTTGTGATAAAGCCATATCATCTGCCCCAAATCAGACCCCATTCTACCCCCAGCTGCGTCTTAAGATCTTGCCCATGACTATCACAAACAGAACTGTTGACAAGGCACAACCCTGGTGAAGGCCAACACCCACTGGAAATGTGTTGTGCTTTTGTGCTGAGTATGCGGACACAGCTCTCACTTTGGTTATACAAGGATCGGATGGCTCATAGAAACATCCCTGGTACCCTGTATTCCTGCAGTATCCCCTACAAGACTTCCCATTGGACGCGATCATAAGCTTTCTCTAAGTCCACAAAACACATGTAGACTGGATGGGCAAACTCCCATAAAGGAGGTATGACAGTACAAAAAAAGATATATCATCAAATCATGCAGATTTACATAATGACAGACATGTTTCAGTGGAGAACCTGATTTTTATATTGTCCTTGAAAGTGCTGCGGTATTTTGGTGTGAAATTAAACTTCTGCTATCGTGCAAGTGCCTGTGTTTTGGCTCTTTGCTGTTGTGTAACTGCAGCTTCCTCCTGTTCACTTGTTTGGCTCGTTTTGGGTCACAAATGGTATGGCTGAATTGCCCATTGTACTTTCCTAACTCTCTCTCTGTTGCTCTTGTATTCCCGTGCTCTCCTGACCTCTCTCTTGCCATGTGTCACTACCTCCTCCGAAATCACCTCAGCCCAAAACAGTGAGCCTCACTGGCAGTGACATGAGCAAATATTGCCTAATTGGCATCAGCCCCATGAGATGTTTTATTCTTGATAACACTTGTGTTCTTACTTTTATATCCATTTAATTTGTTTTGTTGTTTTTGTGACAGTTCTTCACTTCAGATTTCCTCTTTATGTCAGAGTTGCTATACCTTTACAGTGTCCTTCCAGAGAGACATAGAACTATTAGTTGTATAATAACTCCACTGTAGAGAGAGGAGCTGCTAATAAATTGTTCACATCGTTAGAGGCTGACAGCAGAAACTCATACAAGCATCAACAGTGAGTGTGCAGAGAAGCCTCCACTGTTTATCTTAATTTATGTTAATAATTTGCATGGTTCTGTGGGTGTGGGTGTGGTAGTGTGAATTATTATTTGGGAGGTGGAATCTAAATCTAAATTCACTCTCTCTGTCAGTTTAGTTTGTCAATAATATTGGCTACACAACATCTAAATACAAACAAGAGTCAAGGACTAAAGGTATAAAGCATCTTACATTTCACTGCGCAACAGTGTTATAAAATGACAAATGAATGAACATTGTAAAGGCTGATGGCTGAGGCTGATGGGAATGTAAAGTGGGTTTACGAAGTGTTGGACAAATTAAAATGTCAACCTCATGGTGCAGCACAGAGGGAGCCGGACGTTGTAAACATTCAAGGCACAATGTAAACCTAGGGGCGTTTGAAGGCATGCTCCCCCAAAGAATTTTTTCCCATTTAGGGCAGCTACACACACTGTTTCTAAGCTGTTTGAGATAATAGAAAGCCTAAAAATCTGTACATCATTTGGAAAAAACATGACAGTTTTCCAACAAAGGAAAGAAAAAAAAAATCCTGTAGAGCCTACATCCTGTTTTGCATCTAACTGTTGTCTAACTGTCTTCATCATTCTGAAACCATAACACAACAAAGATTAAGGATGGCTTAAGCATCATTTATACTTCTGCATCAATTAATCGCAGTACCTATGGCGTAGGCTCTGCGTAGGTGCGTACCCTAGGCTTTAGACTGCACAGTAGCCTGATGTGGACCTCCTCAGAAATGTAACTACACATTGCAGTGACACAGACCTCCTGTTTGTTTTTGTTAGCTGAAAAAAAGAAAAGTCTGCTAGCCACTAGGCTAATTTATGCAATGTAAGATATCATAGACTTGTGCTAATAATGTTAACATGTTGTGGAGAAAGTGTGTCCAGCAAAAGACAAGTGTTTTATCAGTGAACCTTGTAAGTTATAATGAAGCCACTTTGTGCAATTTAGAATCAATCAAACCTTACAGCACTTCATAGAAACCCCACCACCAACCAGCATTTTGGATGATGTAACTGCAGAGTGACACAGACACGCCACCACACAAAGTACCAACAAAACAATAAATCAGCCTTTATTTTCACTCCTGATACCTAAAAAGAGGCAAAAATATGTGATGTTACTGTTTTTAAGTTGACTACCCTACATAACATATGTAGGGTAGGAACTGGGTGTAAAAAGCATTTCTAATCTTAAACCTATTTTTGTTATAATACTGTATGCTGGTGTAGAGTTCACAAAATGAATGTTTAGCTGACAAATCTGCTAGTTTTATATCCGTCCCATAATAATCTGGGCTGCACTAATTGCAAATCAAGGATCCCTAACAATGCCAAGTAAATGTAGGGAATAGCATAGTAGAATAAACAGCATGGGCATATATTATAGTCTTAATGACACAAGTTAATTGTATTTTAGAAACCTACCATACTGGGGGCTTTTGAGAAAACATTTATCTCCATAGTGGAGCTAGGGGAAACATTAAGGGAACAACAAAGTGATTACAATTCATCCTGAGGGGAGAATGAGTTAAGACAGTATAACCTCAATACCAAAACACAGCTGCTAGCCCTCTGCTAACTTAGTGCTCCTTCTTAACTGACCCGAGCACAGTATGGGCACAATAACCTGTAACTTCAGTCCCTGCTGTTTCTATAGCTTGACACTAAATTGAAAGTTCAAGGCTCAGTGAAATGTATAAATATCTTCCTCTGGACTGACACATGAGCTGGCTGAGTTATTGACACTGTTATGATAAAGATTGTACCAGTAACCCTGCTCCTTTTCTCTCTCTCTGCCTCTGCAGCTGGTCTTCTATGTGGTCGTGCAGACGCTGTACACTCTGGGTCACAGTCTGTCTTTGATCGCCCTCACCACAGGGAGTGCCATCCTCTGTCTGTTTCGGTAAGATCAAATATTACTCTATCATCACATGAAATAAAACCCCTGTGGTCTGTGTTGAGGCTGAGTCTTTAAAATACAAAACAGTAAAAAGATAACAACAACACCACCACCACCCCAGAAAACAAAAAAAAAAACATCCTCATTATTACTGATTAATTACTGCAGATGAGTGGCTGGTGGTAATTTCAAGCTCATCTTTTAGGTTTTTTCATGTTTTATTTCTTCATGTGCTGATTGACATTTCAGCTGAGTCTGAGGAAAAACTGTCAGTTTAATTAGATTTTAAATGAACAAGTGCTGGCAGTTAGCCAGATTCACAGATTTATCATTAATTGTCAGCAGATGTGTGTTTGTGTGTGTGACAGCCTCTCAGTTTACAGCTTAATTGGATTGGATTGGTTTTATTCAGCTTGCTAATTTGAATTACGTTGTGTTGATTGGAACTTTTTTTTCCCCCTTTGCTGAGCCATCAGGATTAGTTTCAAAAAGCCGTTGGGAGGTTTGACCAGATAAGTGAAGTTTCCTGACTGAACTAAGTAAATATGCATAAAACACATGAAAAGATATCATAACCAAGCGACATGAGAAAGATGTTTTAAGGGCTCAATTATCTCAAAACTTGACATCGTCCCTACGTACGCTAAAGAGGTTAAGTAAGGAAGTTTTATTTTCTTGTAATGACATCAGTCATTGAGATTCATTTAAGTGTATTTGTGTTTGATGATGATTAATCCTCTTATATAATCAAGATTAAAGCTCCTCTACACCATGGGTATCAAAATTTTACATATTCATGTGATGATGTATGTTCTGATGACAGACTAATAGACTGAAAGCTCAACAATAAAGTGAAACACTGTGCAGAAATCTTTTCCACCAGTTTGGACATATTGATGTTTCCAGCGCATTGCCAAGACCAAACTGGGTGGAGTAGTGTTTGTACTGCATCATAATGCTCTAATCCCTGAAATAAAGCGCATTCAATGTTAATAAACAGTAGTTACATATACTTTATCCACAAGTGACGCTTCCCAGGTTGTAAAGGTGTCACGTCATGTAAAATCTGTTAAGTTAATTCATGTTTATGTTTTAGGTTTATCATATCATGCCTTAGTTTAGTTTCATGTTTAGTCTTTCATTATCATGAGCACTTTTATGTTAAGTTAAAATCACTCATGTCTAGTCTCGTCTTTCACTTCCTGTTATATTTTGTACTCACCTTTTCCCTCTCATTTCAGACCCTCCCTTTGTGTGATTTTCCCGCCACTGTGACTGTCTCCCCGCTCCCTGATTGGTCTCACCTGTGTTCCCCCTACCTCATTATAAATAGTCCTTGTCTCCCTTTGTCTTGTGTCAATTCGTCTTGTCAGGTTGATCAGGAGAGTACTGTCTAGCGTCCGAGCCATCCATTCATGTTACCAGGTTTTCGTTTCAAGTTGTTGTTTTGTTTGCGAACCTTAGTACTGTTGTTTGATCCTCCAAGAGAGCGTTTTTTGTTAGTACCTTTTTCCTCCATTGAGAGTGTTTTTATTTTATGTGTTTTCAAGTAAAGATTTTTTTGTTAAACCTCACTACCGTCTCCAGAGTGTGCATCTGAGTCCCAGTCATTGGTGTGATGTTCACAACAAAGGGTGTGTAGACCTTCTGGCTGCAGGTTAAAATTAGGTTGCACTCAATCCAATGTAGTATTGACAGCTATATCACATGTGGATTGGAAATCTTTTTTCATAAAAGGAGACAGAAGAAGAAAGAGGAAGGAAAGATAATCTATAATAACTGAAGAAAATCCACAACACTAAAACACTCATAAAAAATTACACATTTTAGATGAGATTTTATTAAATGCAATTTATGAGATAGAAACCAGTTACCAAATTAAATCCAGTGAAAATTTAATAAATTTCAAATAAAGAAAAAAAAAACCAAGGACTGGCCAGCTCATTCAGTGTGAAAGTCCATGGTACAGGCAGGCAGTCAAAAAATGCACCGAGGCACTCTCACTGTAGTTAAAAATTCTTTATTGATACAAGGTCAAACCAACTTGTTTCGACTGTTGAGTCTTCATGTACAGATTTACAGATCTCTGTACACATTTGCAGATCTGTGTACAGATTTACAGATCATTGTACACATTTACAGATCGTTGTACACATTTACAGATTGCAATACACTTGCAAATCTGAATACAGATTTGTAGATTTTTTTACACATTTACATATCTGATTACGCACACACAGATTCTAAATACACATTTGCAGATTTTTGTACGCATTCACAAACTTTATTACGCTTTAACAAATTATTTTACACATGTACAAATCTGATTACGCACACACAGATTGAGATACGCATTTGCAGCTATTTAGCTACTATAATGGCCCCATAGAACTGCTATGCTTAAGTCTAAATTGTGTTTTAAAAGAAACTACTGACCTTTTCCTCTCTTACATCTCCAGCCATTTTTGTTGTTGTTAGAGTTGCAGGAATCCAGCAGTAGTGGCATCACAGGAGTGACGAATGTCCTGAATTAAATTTTTTACTTCAGTAGCAGTAAAATGTACTGAAAGTATCAAAGTAAAAAGTACTTGTTATGCAGAAGAATGGCTCTTGTCAGGGTTCAATCATTGGCTTCGTATTATACTACTGGATTATGTTTTAGATTTGTATTAATGTTTAAGCAGCATTTTATGTTGCAGCTAGTAGAAATTGTTTTAATATACTGTTACGTAGATTGACCTACAGCAGTGTACAGTATCTATAAGTTCATCATAGGTTTTGTATAACTTTATCACAAAGTAACTGCCGTTATATAAATGTAGTGAAGTATAAAACACAGTTCCCTCTGAAATGTATGGAGTACAAGTATAAAATGGAAATACTCAAGTAAGGTTACTCCACTACTACTACTCCACCACTGTTATCCAGCATTTTTTTTAGCTGTTGGTGCATTCAATAGCATTAAAAAAAAATCAGAGTTGGTGTGTTGCTACTAGTGAGACCGGAGACGATGTATCTTAACTTCCTCCCTCTGAACAAAATGAAGCGAAAATGTCCTGGATATAGCTGCTGCCATTTTGGCTGGTCATACCCATACACCCACTGACTCAATCATGAACACACCAATTAACACAGGCAGCTGTCAGTCATGATGTAACATCCCCTTTTTATAGCATCAAATAATTAGTTAAAACCAAAGTTATCAGTGAACTCTCTGAAGAGCTTCCGAAAATGACAGAATCCATCTTTGATGAAAATGTATTTATTGTTTTCTTTGATTTTTTTTAAATTAAGGGGACAATGGAAATGTTTTGGCTTCACTTGCTGTCATGCCGTCTATCCTTATTAGGGGGCCAAGCCCAAGGGGCCGAGGGAACGTGTATGCAAGCAGACGCGTTTCCTAGGACCAGCGGTGCTAGGAACCCTATTGTTTTTGTAAAGATTTTTATTTTTATTCTTCTGTAGGTAAAAGTGGTGCTGCAGGCTAAACCGTGCAAGGGAGAGCGGTGCAATTTGGAGGGGTGGTCCAGACCCCTGCACGTACCTCAGACGCAAAAAACTATGTATATCTGCCTGCAGGGGGCGCTATGACCTAAGCCAATGCGTTTTTGCCTATAGCTCCCACACCGTATGTCGCACATTCAAAAATCTTGTATCCCCAGCTTCCCTGAATAGAGCTGAATCACTTTGCCATAGGCCACGCCCACTTGCGCCTAGGAAGTTTTTTCGCAAAATCGCGAACCTACTTTTTTGAACTTCTCCTTGGGATTTTGTCCAATCTGTGTGAAACTTGACATATATACTCTTCTACTGGACCTGATCTAAAGTTATCAAAAGAATTTTATTTGGTCAAAAAATGCGCAAATTATTAACAAACAAACTTCTATAGCTAGCTATAAAAATGCAAACTGTTGGATATCTCGGTCAAACTAAATGCTATTAACACCAAATTTGAGATCATTGGTTGGCATGAGACTGTGAGGGTATGAGCCGAATTTGGCGAATTTTGGCAACTAGGGGGCGCTACAAATATGGTAAGTTTATATCTCTTGAACGGCTGCACCGATTTCTACGAAATTCGGTTGGTATGATGTAGGGCCAATTCTGAGGTCACATCTTGAAGGTGCTCATGACTGGTCAATGTGGGCGTGGCTTATTACAAGATAAACAACAAACATCAATTTCAGCCAAACTATTACGCTGAGGGCTTTGAAATTTTAAGGTTACATATAGAATAGGACACAGATCTTCCGTACCAAAAATTGCACATGTACTCCACTAGGTGGCGCTATAACGGATGCAAACGCGTTTTTGCCTGCAACTTACACATTTTAAATGACACTTTCACAAACATTATATCCATGTGTTCTCTGGATAGAGCTGGGTTTTCTGACACAGGCCCCGCCCACTTCTGCTGCACATTCTCTTTGCTAATTCGCCACATGTCCAAAACCTACTTTTTTGAACTCCTCCTACATTTTAAGTGCCACCTGCCTGAAACTTTGCACATAGAATCTCCAGATGTGTCTGATGAAAAGTTACCAAAAGAATTTTGGCACTCCAAAAAATGCGCTTGTTACAACCAAACAACCTTTTTTGCTAACTAAAAAAAAAATCCCACCAGGGATCAGTAGTCTCTGATTCTGATTACCAGGCTATACAGTATGTGTAACAAACTCTCATATCTTTGCTTAATGTAATACAAAAACAATTAGATTTACAAGAAAAAATCCCAAAGGTCCGACCTAGTATTTGAATCCCATTAGTCCGACCTCCCAAAAATCCGACCGCAGTAAAGTTACATTTCAGGGGGGACCAGGCAACTTCCCCCTTTCAGTAAACACAGAGCAGTGGTACCACTAAACAGCTGCAATGTCTCTATGCGCGTACTGTGAGAACAGTTGCGTTTATCTCATCGACGGGAAATCATATGTGATGTACATGCCCTTATTTGGATAACACATCCTGGTATTCCCCACACATGGGAAGATGTTTTAAGTAAGGGGGGGCCGGGCTGCCAACTGAATGAATGAATGAGTGACATCATTGTATTTTTTTTCCTGCTGTATAGCGCACCGCACATCGCCACTCACTAGGCTCACTTTTTTCCATAAGGAGGCCAACAGTAGAATTCACCACATGACAAAAGCAGACAAGAACTACCGTAGTTTTAGCTCTGTCCTTGGTGCTGAAGATGTCCCCTAGCCTGTTACAGGCAGCGGTTATAACAAAATCACTTTAAGCGCTGTCCTTGGTGCTGAAGATGCAAAAAAAAAAGAAATGTCTATACTCCAAAACTCACTACCTCTGACATGACGAACCAAGACAGTGTACATAGATAAAAAAAAACAACATCAGCAGAAAAACAGAAGTCCTGCAAACCAACAGCAAGCGGCTATCACCATGGCCAAATAACGTCGCATATCTGTAACTAGAAAAGCACTTGGAGAGCGCAGACCTCCGCCAAGCAGCTCGGATTTCCTGCCATTTTATTATTTTATCCACTTCGCTTCAACCGATCACCACCAAAATTTTATCATCTGTTCCTTGTCCCATTATCGTCCTTTCCTGAAAATGTCATCAAAATCCGCTCAGAACTTTTTGAGTTATTTTGCAGACAAACAAACAAACAGACAAACAAACAGACAAACAGACCAACGCTAGCGAAAACATAACCTCCTTGGCGGAAGTAATAAAGAAATAAAAACAAGATAGCTGTTGGTACCTAACGCTGTTGCTGCTGCAGCTACTATTAGGCTACTACTGTTATCCAAACTAAATTAAAGGAAGCAAAGATTGTTTAACCTATAATTCTGTCTAGCAAAGTTAAATATTTTCACCACCATTTTAGTTATGAAATAGCCTCACATATGATATTCAAGGTGCACACACACACAAGCAGGATCTCACACACATAAAACGTGACTGGAATTAATAAACAAGCAGTAAATGCACAGTGGGGGTTATTTGTTTTCTGTATTGGCGTGAGGCACTGTGTTAATTGAAGTGAATCGTCCTAGCCGGACGTGTGTTAATTTGAGTTTGATTTAATTTAATTACACTAAAGTTGTTGAGTTAAACTAACCATATGAGTCCTTTTCGTTTTTATACAATTTATTGCTGCATTTTGAAAGCAAAAAGAGTTAAGTTTTTTGGGGGTTTCATATATCAGGGGTTTCAGCTTGGCACCGTGAACCTGTGCCTCGTGTGACCTGTAAAAGTAGCATTGTGACATAAGCCTCAGTTTCTGTTGTTGGCGAATTGTTACAAAGTGATGAATTCGCTTGTCAAGGCTAGGCAAAACGTTAGTACAGGTGAGATGACGGACAGATGGATGGTTTGTCTCTAACAAAATACTTTCTGTAGACGTGCTGCAAGAACAGATTAATGCTTAATATAGCCTACATCTGCAGCCAGAGCACATTACGCTGTCAATAGGCTTTATGTGTGAGGAATACCAGAATGTGTTATCCAAATAAGGGCATGTACGTCACATATAGCAGATGGATGTGATTTCCCGTTGATGAGATAAACGCAACTGTCCTCACAGTCCGTACCAGCGCAGTGAGGGAGAAATGCACAGACTGCTTCATGTTGGAAGTGCTGTGGTCGGACTAACTGGCGGTCGGACTACTGGGTATGAAATCCGACAGTCGGAATAATGGCATTAAAATGGTCGGATTAGACATTATGGGACTAAAATGATAAAACTCGCTATAGACTTGCATGGTCGGATTAGGGGTAGTCGGAGTTATGAGTAGTCAGACCTATGGGAGGTCGCACTAACGCCTGGTCCCCACTGGTGAGTGGGGTGGCCAGTGGGGTGGCCAGCAAATTTATAGGGGGGGCCGTGGCCACCCCTGGCCACCCCCTGGTGGTGCCATTGGCTGTGTCAATGCATTGATCATACCTAAAAGAATGAGAGGGACTATATTTAAAACAGTGCTGTTGTTGGTCTGAACAAGACACTGATTTACATCATCAGGTGTGAAGACCATTCAGAGCTCACGAAATTAAAAGTTATGAATGAATTGTAAAAGCCAGTGCAGGGTCGTCAAAACTGGCATGATGTGTGTGTTTTAGCATTATAGACTTTTCCACATCAGTGAATTTATGGTAGTAATTGCACAATAAATATTATTGGCAAAAAAATAAGTAGGCAACGTCAATGTAAAAAGGGAGCTTTTCAAACACATCCTAAAATGAAACTAATTTTCCATAATCTGTGTATATTGTGTATGTGTGTAACATCTGTGCAGGAAGCTCCACTGCACCAGGAACTACATCCACCTCAACCTCTTCTTTTCCTTCATCCTGAGAGCCGTGGCTGTGTTGGTGAAAGACGACATCCTCTTCAATCGAAACTCTCAGTGCTCCAACCAGCCGTCACTGGTGAGGTCACCAAATCTATCCGCCACTGAGCCAAGTTGCTTCACATTTGTGTGTCAACAGCACAACAATCACAGACGGAAAGCAGATTCAGCATAATGCTTCCAATTACTGTTTGTAATGTGAAATGAAAATGTAAATGAGGTTTTACAGAAATGAGACTCAACATTTTTCTATTAACTGGAAATTTTTGCCAACAGCTCAATCTTATAACATAATAAAAATGGGCAACAAATCTACTGTGACAGTTCATTCACTCATGCCAGAATACAATTTAGTTGTGATGACTCTACATGACTAATATACAGCAGAGATGACGAGAAACTCCTCTCCATCCATGTATTGTATTGTGATTGAGCCTGCATATTGTTTTCTTTTATACCTTAGCCTGCAGGCTTTTTTTCTGCAAAACACTTTTTCATTTAACAAAACAGTCCAAACTTCTCAAATGTATGTCTTAAATGGAATAGGCCACCAAAAATGGTCATTCACATTAACACTCTCTCAGTCCTTAAATGACAGAATAAGTTGATTTCCACTGACTTCTATACATATATTACTATCCTAGCAGCAGCAGTTTGAAACACGTCCTTAAATTATTAGACGAAAAATTCGTAGTTCAATTTAGGCAACAAAACTAGGAGGTTATGTTCAGAGAAAATATCATAGTTTGGCTTGAAATAGGTACTTTTTTTAACTAATGTAACGTGACACATGTCCAACACATTCTCACTCCGTCCTTGTCACATATTGACATTTGGTCATGGACTTTCCGTGTTCACATACGTCGTGTAAGGTACCCTGGGTGCAGGCGCGCCGGATTCATTTCAGAAGTGGGGGGGCCAAAAAGTGCTGTGCGTCTGGGGCTTGTCACCGTGTGGGCGTGGCTACCTGTGTAATGTCCATTTAATAATAGGGTCTAGTTAAAGGTGCGTAGTGATCAGGGATTGAAGTACAGCCTGAGTTGAGTGTGAGCTTGTGCAACAGCGGCAACAGTGTGTTTTAGCGAAAGCAGCAGTATCTTGCAGCAAGTTACACGCTCGTCGTCTCTCATTAAAAAGATGGTGAAGAAAGACAAAGAGTCAGATAATGTATTTAATCACGAACTTAATCTTGGGAGGAAAAAAGCAAACAGTTTATTTCTTAACAGTGTTTGCATGAAACCTGAACACTTTGAATCCTTTATGGATAGGGCTGTACCCAAATATTTGGATATTCGAATATTCGTTTCTATGGGTAGGTATTCGTTGTGAAAATTTGGTATTCGATATTCTTTTTTTTTCTTTTTTTTTAAACATATTTTTATATAGGCCTAGCTGTTTTTTTCGTTATCTTTTTAATTTAATATGAATTATGAAACCGTTTTTGTCAACGTTTGTTTCCCCCGTTTTGTACAATTAATTATTGTTTAAAGTTTCAACAAGTTTCTGGAGTGCGTGACACAAGTGTGTTTTGAAAACGACCGCAGACTGTCACCTGCTCAACGCATCATTACCTTCGGATGCCGTGACAGTAATAGCCCAGTGATTATAATAACAATAATGTCAAAATATCATTTACATTTAACAGACGATCACTGCTGCCCGACCCGCAGGTCCATTTGCGGGTCCCGCAGGTTACGGGTCGACCCCGCATCACTACTCAGCTCAGTCTATAAAGGCTGTACACACAACAGTAAGGCTATAGACATTATATTCTATTCAGGCCGGCAGAACCAGCAGCGCATCGGCTCTACAGTGCACGACACTGCTGATTAACCATTTTATTGCAGCACAGAGTGTCTGCCAGCAACCAGTTACTTGCAGAGGCTTCCTACAACTTGTTTCAACGGTTCCGATTTAATCAGAAGACAAATTAAACAGGATGACTAGCCAATGTGAAAATCAAAAGAAAGCATAGAATAATGTACTGAAGGAGACTGTTGTGCCATCACATTTTTTTGTGGTTTGAGAGCAAAAATCCAGCCGCTGCTGTGCAAAACTCCACAATGCAATTCTCAAACTTGATTGAAAATCAATTTCGGAGTGGGGCTGGTTTGGAACGGCGGTGTTTCCGAATGGCGGGCTGTCCCCTGTTGGAACATTGTGCGTGCACAGCCCTTCACCACCTGGATCCTAAAATAAACACCTGTTTTATTACATAATCATGCTTCTGTGTTGTGCCATTCATAAAGATCCTATTTCTGTCATTCAAATAACAAGAATTGTGGCTTAATACTCTTAATTATTACAGCCAACTTATTGAAAAATGATGGGTTTAAATCATAATTAAAATCCCGTCATAATTTAAATCCCGTCCCGGACATAATGGCACGGGCTCGGGCCGGCTCGGGCTGGATTTTTTGGGCCCGATCTTAGCTCTCTTAGCCGCTCTCGTTTCCCCCGAGCCGCCTCAAGAAGTGCCTGCTCTCGCCCTGCAGCTACGCGGAGTCCCAAAACGCCGCTCCATCTCTGAGAGCAGCAGGTCCAGGGCCTCTGTAGCCTATGTAGTCAGGCAGGCTGCATATCACATCAAAAGCACAGATCTATGCATTCATGATATGAAAGAGATAAATGTAAGTCAGACAAATTGAGTTTAAATTCAGATTCTTTATTTTTTGTTTTATGTTTGTGTACTACGGGGCCGTGGAGGGGCATTGAGAAAAAAATAAAACACACCAGCGCTAGAAATGTTTGATTGCGAACCAGATAGGCCTACAATTTGGCTCGCTTTTTGATTTATTTCTATTTTTTATAACTGGGGAGTTCTTACAATACGGTGCCAGGGTTAGTGGGGATTACTGCTAGGTGCTGTTGGATAGAGCCAGATGGCTTAGAGTCTACCCGGAGCCTGCCGAGGATGCTCTAGGCTTTACCTGGCTGGTGAGGCAGTAACAGGTGTGCACAATTGAGTGCCTGCTGGAGTCTGTATCTTTCTCTCTATGGCCCCTCTCTGTATTTTACCTACCGTATGAGTGGAAGTGAAGAGTGAAAGTCTTTTTTACTGTAAGTAATGTAATATTGGGACCTTTGATTCAGCTTAAAAATAATATGGCAGGAAGGTAAAAGTGGGGGGGCCAATGGCCCCCTGGCCCCCCCGCTTCCGGTGCCGTTGCCTGGGTGTGATGTAGGGTTGGGTCGGTTCTCGGTAATACCAATTCGGTCCGGTACTCCGTCTTGGACCGGGTTTTATTTTTTGAGACCGACCGGACCGCATACTTGGGCAGAACGTACGTGGAGCGGACACTGCGGAGTTCCGTCTGGTAAAAGTGGACGTCCGCAAGCCCAGTGTCACACAAAAGACTGTTCGGCATGTATTTTTCACATCGCGGGGATTTTTCACGGACATTTTTACACGTAGTCCGTTCCGCTTATAGTACGCCCGAGTCCGTGAGCACCTGTGTCTGCCTCTTCACCAAGCGCACAGCAAGCAGGAGAGAGAGGGAGGTGGGGCGGGGACTGAGCTAGGAGGTGCGAGTGCGCATGCACCTCTACTGTAGCTTGGAGTTTGTTTAATAGTGACGGGGAGTCGATAATGGCGCCACTATGGCGACACTTTGGCTTTGAGCCAGACGAAGGAGGCAACCCTTGTTTGCATTGATTGAGTAAGCTGCAAAATTTATTTGTAAGGAATAAAAGAAACAACTTGTTACTGTCACTCTGTTGTCCTAAGGTCATTTTTTATTTTAAATGAGTCAATTGCGCCCCCAAGTGGCAAAAATCCGGTATTACCGACTTGATGCGGTTTTTTACAAAAACCGGACCGTTTTTTTTTTCTCATACCGACCCAACCCTAATGTGATGGTTGTTGACGCTCTGGGACACTGTGTCAAGTTCTGCCTGTCACATGCATTGTCCTCTTTCAAAATACACGTCCAATATCAGGAAATTTAACGTTACATACAGTCGCTTTCAAAATAAAGGAACTACATCCATACAACACCACAAATTGATGTTTTTTTTCCTTCAACAACAAATGCACATATTTGGGTTTAGGCAACAAAAACATGTGGTTGGGTTTATGAAAAAAGAACTTACCCAGGAAAAAAAGAACAGGGTTTCATCATTTCATCATCAGGGTTCATCATTGTCCCACCGCATTTCCTCCTTACGCTGCAAGGAAACATTAAACTATAATGGCAATTGGCCGCATATCATGCCGATGTTAAAGTATGCTACACATACTAGTATACTAGGCTACCTTGTTATTAAAAGAAGTCAAGTGGGACTTTGGGGAACATACGCTGGTCTCCTGTGTGAAAATCCTGTGCTTGTTTGATCGTGTTTAATCATGAATTCCATCCTATAGCCCAACCTATGTGGACTTCTTCCATCTCTAAAAAACATTACATGGACTTTGTTACATTTTACACCATGTCACCTTACCTCCTCTGCTCCTGTAATAATTACTACGGCCACTAGAGGGCGTCATCTTTATAAACTGCTCATACAATTGACCTCTTGGGCCATTCACAAGGTTGTATGTTGCTTTAAAAAAGTTTGCAGACAAAGTCAAGTTGGACTCACAGCAATTACAATGGATTCCGATGAAGATCTAGAGTCACAGCAAAAAACAAAAAGAAAAAGACAAACATTCTTAGAAACTTCTAAAATGACTTCTGCAGCGTAGTCCAATGGCGTTAATATTGACAGACCCAGAAGCTGCCAGGGGCCCATGTTATGAATCTGAGGGCACAGTTTACACAACTGTTAGAATGGATTTAGGCAGCATTCACACCAAGTCCAGCGTTGTGGTGAAAATGTCACTCCATCCATTCCTTTGGGTGGCACGTCTCGGCTGTGTCTGTGGGGTGAAAAGTTGAAAGGGATTCAACTTTTGAAGATACAAGCAGTCCATGGTAACAAGTAATACAGTCTGTTTCTATTGTTAGATATTATAGTGAGTAAAAGAAATGCAGTATGTATTAAGAGCTTGTACTATCCTAAAAAGAGGGCACTCTCTTGTTGAACTGGTTGCGTGTGCGTGCAGGTGTTTCTTTCCTGACAGGAAAGATACTACAGTAA